ACTTTACAGATTTTGTCTTCGGGTTATACACTAAAAATTATCAAAATGTGACAAACGAATTTTGCAATTATGCAAGTTATAGTACCATCAATATTTTAATCAGCAAATGCATTGTTTTAGGTTCAAAAGAAGGGTAAATAGCAGAGTCACAAGAGTCAAACTGCATTTTATTTCTTTTCCCTATAAACAAAACTATCAGAATGTGGCAAATAAATTTTGAAAAATATGCATATTATAACATTTCTAATATTCAAATATGGGCAGTGTATCGCCATCTGGTGCTATTTGAAGCCACTAAAGCATTTAATTTTCATTATCTTCTTGTAAATGTTTAGGCTAAAAAGGGAGGGTAGACAGCCCACTTCCAAATATTCTGATTTATACATTCTGTCCACGTCCTCTTCAAATAAAATTATTAAAACGAATTTTGAATAATATGCAGGTTTTAACACCTGTGATTTTAGTATCAGGAATTGCAAAGTATTAGCTTCAAAACGAAGGGTGGTAAGCACTCTTACAAATATTTTGACTTTATACGTTTTGTGGACGTCCTCCTCAAACAAAATTATTAGAACCTGACACACGAATTTTTAATAGTATGCAAGTTTTAATGTCAGTAATTTTTACTATCAAAAATTGCAAAGTTTAGGTTCAAAAGGAAGGGAAAAAATAGCCCTCATAATAAATGTGACTTTACAGATGTTGTTCCCGTCTTGTACAAACAAGATTATCAAAATCTAACAAATGAATTCTGAATAATATACAAGTTATAATACCTGTAAATTTCATTACCAGAAATTGCAAAGTTTTATGTTCAAAAGGTAGGGTAGGGACTTCCCTTACAAAAGATTTGACTTTACAGATTTTGTCTTCGGGTTATACACTAAAAATTATCAAAATGTGACAAACGAATTTTGCAATTATGCAAGTTATAGTACCATCAATATTTTAATCAGCAAATGCATTGTTTTAGGTTCAAAAGAAGGGTAAATAGCAGAGTCACAAGAGTCAAACTGCATTTTATTTCTTTTCCCTATAAACAAAACTATCAGAATGTGGCAAATAAATTTTGAAAAATATGCATATTATAACATTTCTAATATTCAAATATGGGCAGTGTATCGCCATCTGGTGCTATTTGAAGCCACTAAAGCATTTAATTTTCATTATCTTCTTGTAAATGTTTAGGCTAAAAAGGGAGGGTAGACAGCCCACTTCCAAATATTCTGATTTATACATTCTGTCCACGTCCTCTTCAAATAAAATTATTAAAACGAATTTTGAATAATATGCAGGTTTTAACACCTGTGATTTTAGTATCAGGAATTGCAAAGTATTAGCTTCAAAACGAAGGGTGGTAAGCACTCTTACAAATATTTTGACTTTATACGTTTTGTGGACGTCCTCCTCAAACAAAATTATTAGAACCTGACACACGAATTTTTAATAGTATGCAAGTTTTAATGTCAGTAATTTTTACTATCAAAAATTGCAAAGTTTAGGTTCAAAAGGAAGGGTAAAAATAGCCCTCATAATAAATGTGACTTTATAGATGTTGTTTCCGTCTTGTACAAACAAGATTATCAAAATCTAACAAATGAATTCTGAGTAATATGCAAGTTATAACATCTGTAAATTTTACTACCAAAAATTGCAAAGTTTTAGATTCAAAAGGAGTGTAAACAGCACAGTCACATGTAATCTGAGTTTACACATTTTATCTCCTTTCTCTTTAAACAAAACCAAAATCAGGCATACGAATTTCGAAAAATATGTTAGTTATAGCATCTGCAATGTTCAAATGGGACAGTGTATCGCCATCTGGTGACTATTAGCTGCCACAAAAGCATTTAGTTTTCACTATTTGTAATGTTTTACATTCAGAAGAGACTAGATTGCAGCCTTGAAGAAAATCTGACTATAAATTTTGTCCCCATTCTCTACAAACAAAATTATCAAAATCTGACAAATTCTGAAAAGTATGCAAGTGTTAACACGTGCAATTTTTACTTTCAGAAATTACAAAATTTCAGGTTCAGAAGAAAGGGTAAACAGCGGCTTAACAAAAAAATGTTTAGTTAATAACGTTTCTACGACTGTATGCTTTTCAGCAACAACTTTTATCCAAATATTTTTAATTTCTCACCTATGACACTCTTGTTTTCCGTTGGCCATCACAGATAGCACCATGCATTGCGGTTGGTCACGGTCTCGGGAGTCAGTGTTGAATTTTTCTTATTTCTTAACTTTTTTGCCAAAATTTTCTTATATTTCACCCATGATTCTTGTCTAAAAAAACTTCATTTGACGCAAAATAGGACGATTTTTTTTTAATTATTCACAATTATAGAAATTTCCAAAGTTTATGTAATCTTTAAACTAAAGAAATTAATTTGCAACAAAAAGTTTTCTAACATATTTAAAGTAGTGATTATTCTATTACTATTTCTCTTCATTTGGTACTCTTCATCTTCCCTGAAAGTATTACATTTTTAGTTTATTATTTTTTTATTTTAGCTCATATTTGTTATAGCAAATATTTATTTCTTACTTTTTCGAAATCGAATATGACTTGTAATGTACAAAAGATTATTTAAGTGAGTGAGAAATAAAAAAGAAGGCTTCTCACAAAATTGTAAATTAATATCACACATTTAATATACATTACATAATAATGCAATTTACCGTTTTACATTTTTTTTATTGTAACTCCCGAATAAATATTTACAGATACGGTAGAAGTAATAAGTGCTCTAAGTAAAGTTCTCCCTAAAAACTTTACATAATAACAACCTAACTACTAAACTTTCAGCCTTTTATTAAAAATTCTACCGTCAGCAAGTCCATTCGCCAAAAGAATAATTATAAAACAAAACAAAAAAGTACACGGTATCTTCATAAATAAACCTAAATATATGCAATATCGGTTAATCAAACATGATGAGCAGACTTAAATCGACAAATATACATAAACA